GCAGACCTCAGTATTGTTAGTAAAGAATTAGAACATGTGTATGAGGAAGAGACTAGTATTGCTACCCAGCTAGATACAAAAAGGACAGCTGAAGTCAGTGGAGTTGGAACTGAGAATTCCAAAGTAAACCTAACTGATCCTGTTAAAGAAAGTCCTGAGAAGCTGCAAAGAGAGTCCATTTTACTGGGAAAAGATGTGGAAGCAAAGGGAAGTAGAGCTGAAATTACAGTGTTAAAGGAAGACATTGCATGGCAGAAGGAGCAAAAAGAAATTGATAATGGAGTAACTGAAACAAATGTTAACACTAACGAAAGAAAAAGGTTTTATCTGAAGTTTTAATTCCTTGCCAGACTACTGAACCTCTTGTAGCAAAAAGGAAGGCAGTTTTGCAGAATTGGGAAGTGTTACCAGAAGCAACATACCAGGAACTACGGCAGCTGACAGAGGTCAAACAGTTTTAGAAGCAAGGAGAAGACACTTTACATGAACTTTGTATTTTCTTAAGAAATGTTACTTACAGACTTGCCATGGACAAACGTTTCAGAGTCTTTGCAAAACCAATTTATGTGCACAAGGTACCAGACTATGTGACAGTTATCAAGCAGCCAATGGATCTGATTTGTAGCAATGCTTTGGAGTATAATTCAGTCAGAGACCCTGAACATTGTCTCATCAAACCTAGAAACGCACGTCTTGTGAACCATTTTCCAGATAGTGGAAACATGTATAATAATATAAACTTTTGCTCTGCCCTTTGGTTGTCTGTTTTTTTTTCTGAATTGAAAAGCCCCAAACTCTTTCCTTTGTAGGAAAGATGCTCTATCCAGGTTGGTCACCCGCCTCTGCACTTTTACCAGCTCTACAATATTCTTTTTCAGTTATGGTGACCAGAACTGAACATAGTATTCCAAATGAAGCCACACCACAGAACTGTAGAAGAAATAGTATGATGTAGTGGTTAGAGTGGTAGTCTTGGATCTAGGAGATCCAGGTTCAAATGCCCACTGTTCCATAGAAGCTCACTGGGTGACCTTTGGCCAGTCACACTTTCTCAGACTAACCTAACCGATAGCATTATTGTGAGGGTAAATGAAAGAAATGAAAGAAAGGTGCGTTGGGTCTCTGTTCTGGAGAAAGTTGGGATATAAATGAAGTAAATGAACAAGTAACTTTCCTGCATTGCTGCAGGAGATTGTAGTTCTGACCAGCTTGACAGAGGCAGTCACGAGACCCCTCCCAAAGAAGACACCCCTGGACCTGAATAATCTAAATAACTACTTCCTGCTGGCCAACATTTCATTCTTGGATGTGGTTGAGCGGGTGGAGGCTATACAGCATCAGGTGACCTTGGTGGATGCAGTTTATCTATGGCCCCGGTCACACGGAAGATTTTGGCCCGGGAGAGGGACGGATCGGGGGCGCAGCAAACGGGCGTGATCTCACCGCAACATCTGGGAAGCGGCGTGCACCCGTCCCCGATCCGTCCCTAAACCCGGAAAAGCCGCTGCAAAAAAGAACCTCCTACAGAGGAGGACTTACCTGAAGCACTGCAGCAAGCTTGGCCGTGGGATCGCTGCCGTGCCCGTCGTCCGGAGCAATCCAGGCTTCCGGCCGAACTGCACACGCACACACATGCGCAGTTCGGCAGCCTCGCTCTCCCTTCAGTAGCTCCCCCCCCGGATGACTTCCGGTACGGCATTGCGACGGGCGGACGCGTGTGCATTTCGCCGCGGCTCTTCGCGGTTCCTAGGAGCCCCCCGGTTCGCCGGGTGGGCTTCTCCTGACCCTCCTGGAGGGAGGGTTGGCAGCAGAGGGCTTGTGGTGGCCCCACTCGGGGGGGTGTCCGCCAGTGCCCTAAAGCAGGACTGCGAAATGGCGGAGGCTTGGTTTTCCACGCCTTCATAGCAACGACCATTCGGACTTTTAATGTGGTGGAATGTTATTTTTGTTTGGAAGACTATTTTCCGTGTCACACTGTGGATACTGGTGAGCATTGTCGATGATATGGATCTCTACCCTCCCTTTTGTGGACTCTCCCCATTGCGGTGAGAAAAACGGCCGGAGAACGTGCATGCAGGGGAAGCAAGTGAGAAGCATGCGGAGGGGGTAAGAGATAACTTATTTGCTGGGAATATTTTTTCGGTGTTTGGCAAGAAGGAGAAAAAGAAGCATTTGTTACAGTTGCGTAACGTCTCATAGCAAATAAAATGGCGGCGGCGTCTATTTGTGATAAAGTAATTACAGAACTTAAATCGGAACTCCAGTCGGAACAGTTTCAGCAAAACCTAAAAGATGAAGTGGGCAAAGCACTTCAGCTGGTTTGGGACAAGGTGTTTAGAATGCCCCAGGATTTATGTGTAGAGGATAAGGATCAGGAAGAACAAATACAAGAGATACAAGCCCAAAATGTCTATCAGGACTGTAAGCAGGCGGAAGAGCAACAAGAAATACAGTCTGAGCTGCAGCAGATGAACAGAAAAGAAAGGACAAAAGAAACGGATTTGACAAAAATCACCTTGGAAAGAGGGAAGACGTTAAAAAGAATAAAAAGAGGACAGATAAAAAGACGTCGGTTTAAACTCTTGTGGAAAGAAAAGGCGCTAGTACAGAGGCGAAAAATAAAGAAAGTTTCAAAGAAGTGTGCAGGTCTCAATCAACTGAATCAGGAAGTTTGCAAACATGAAAGACTCGCTAAGGCGACCATGTTAAAGGAGTATAAAAATCTAAGACATCTGCAAGAAAATAGGGAAAATCAGATTAAAAAGGAGATGCAGTATAAGTTTACCAGACTGAGTAATATGACTTAGGTATGTTTTGCCTTAAGTGAGTACTAAATTCGTGAAAAATATGTAGCAACAAAATAGGATGGAAATATGTGGAAAATATATATGGTTATGGTTATGCTGTTGGGATGGATGTTAATGTGTATATTAGAAATTTCTATTTTGGCCTTAAACAGAGTGTCAAACAAGAAAGCATATCAGTTGTCAGTCAAAAAGATAGTTAGTTATGATAAGCGGAAGTAGGAAAGAGTAGGGCTAGAAACGATGGGATGAAATCTTCAGATGAGGGGGAATGTGTCAGTTTGTGTAATAATATAGATTGTCCTTTAATTCAAACTGAATGGAGAAAAATTGATTTATATATGTAATATAATATAACCAAGATGGGAGCTACTGAGAGAGCAAATTAATCGCAGGAGGTTAGATTGAAGGCTTAGGAAAGTCAGAAACTGAATCCGGATATATAACGAACTGAACTTGAGCAAGACGTTTTCTATTTTTTGTTTTAAAATGATTACTGCATTGATTAGTATCCTGGCATATATTTTCTTTGAATCTAAAATGAATGGATGTAAGAGAGTCAGAAGATTAATTACTAGAGGCTAGGAAATTTAGGATTTGGAGGTTGCTAAGGTGTAATGGTTAACAGGTTAGATTAAAGATAAAAGACTGTATGTAAACCAAACAGGTAATCAATGTGACACGGGAAGAAATAGAGAGGGTAATAGGGTGGGTGGGTGATGGTCTTTTGTATGTGCATCTTTTGTGTATTGTTTTGAGGTGGTGGTTATACATGTTTACTTGTTTGTATCTGTTTGTGTGTTGGTAAAGTGCAGAAAACCAATAAAAATTATTATAATTAAAAAAAATGAAGTTGTTTAAGGCCAAACACACACACACATATACATATACATACTTTGGCCGTGCTTCTCCCCCCCCCCCTGTGTGGCAGGGGCCTTAGAGACCCATTTCGTTTTGGGTTTGGGATGGAAATACCTGGGCCAGGTAGGCCTTTAGAAGTCCTGAATGGTGCCTGGAGAATGTAATGGTATGCATGAGGGCGAATAAACTGAAGCTTAGACCAGGCTACGTTGAGAATACTATTGTTCAATAACAACGCCGCTCAAGAGGACTGAGGAGTCAGCCCGTCCTGGAGGGGATTGCACTCCCCCCAAAGACTAGGCTGCTGCTGGATCCTGACTGCGGATGGAGGCTCAGGTTACCTCCATGATATGTTGCACCTTTTAATCAGCTTCAGCTGGTATTCTAGCTACCACTATTCCTTGAAAAAGTGTGATATGGCTACAGTTATCTGTGCTCTGGTCACACCCAGGTTAGATATACTGCAGTGCACTCTGTATGCATGCCCTTTGAAAACTCTCTGGAAACTTCAAAATGTGCTCCAAAATGTGATGATCAGATTACTGTCATGAGTTGGGATGGATTATCCCTGTGCTGAAAGATTTGTGCTGGCTGTTTCAAGTCACAAATGCTGCTCTCACCTTTAAGACGGCCTCCTTTTGTGCTGACCAGCCTTCCAGTTAAGATCTTCTTCCCAAGCTCTTCTCTCTGTCCCCATCTGCAGAGGTGAGGTGGGTTGCAACCAGAGGCAGGGCTTTCTTAGTAGTGGCACCTTGTCTTAGGACTGCTGTTCCCCTTGAGGTTCACCTGCTGCTTACCTTACTTTCCTTTAGCTGTCAGGTGGCATTTACATTTTCTAATGTATAAATAAAATTACAATATTGGCCATTTTATTTTCAGCCACTTTCCTAATAATTCCTAGCATGGAGTTTGCCACACAATGAGTTGACATTTTCCTGGAGCTGCCCACTAGAATCCCGAGATCTTTTCCCCTCTCAGTTTTCACCAGTTCAGACCACATCAGCATGTTTTAAGATTACGATGCTTTTCTCCAGTGTGCACCATCTTGCACGTATCTTCTTTATTTGCTATGCTGTTGCCTGCTCACCCAGTCTGGAAAGTTCCTCTTGGAGCTCTTCACAATCCACGCTGGTTTTCACCATCCTGGATAATTTGGTATCGTTTGCAAACTTGTCGTTACAGTGCTCACCACCACTGAATACTTTCCTCTGTTGTGAGAACTGTCCATCCCTACTCTTTGCTTCCTACTTAACTAATTGTGCTAAAATGCTACTTTGTTTATTAGGCCTGAAATGTCTGTGTTGACTCCCATTAGTCCTTCTGTCTCAATCACAGGTGTTCACAGCCTTGGCGCTTGTTGGAATGCTCATTCTTCCTCTCAATAATTTCCCCTGGGTGCTGAATGGAATCTTGGAAGCCAAAGTGTCTCTGGATCGAATCCAGCACTTCCTTGAGCTCACCGACCAGGATTTGGATGCTTACTACAGCAGGGGTATGGAAGCCGGAGGAAATGGAGTGGATAGGCAGTTGAGTTGGGTCATGAGAATAGGGACAGAGCTACTTTGGATTCATAAGGATGAACTGTGAGAAGAGCAGTAGGATGCTCTGGGCTTGGTGTAGCTTTTTAAAATGTTGCTTTATGACATTTAATTGAAACTCTTACAATTTCATTGCTGTTTGAATTTTAGTGCTGCCTTTTGTGACTCTTGTTTAATGTTCTATGTTTTTAGTTTGATGTTACATGAAAACTGCCTCAAAGATGCTTTGGAGAGTGTGGCACATAACTATAGCCTAGAAATACTCTTTGGAGAGTGTGGCACATAACTATAGCATAGAAGTCCTGTGTCTGTAGATTTCCACCTTGGCAGTAGGGCCTTCTGTTCACTTTGCCTGGGATGGCAGGCTCTCTGTTCTCCCGTCTTTTACTTGCCATTCTCATCTCTCTCAGCTGTTCTTTCTTGTCCACCTTAGAGAGACAGAGCCACAGGATTACTGTGGGTATTACTCCTAAGTATTTGTCAAGCCTGAGCTTATTGACCTCAGCTGAGGGGAATAGAAGGCGAAGGAAAGGTCATTACTAAGAAATCCGTCTCTGTACTGTAACTGAAGTGTACTAGAGTTCAGTGTCATCTGCATAGCCTGTTTTTGGAGAGTGCTGTTGGATCTTGTCTGCAAGAAGCATGCTGTACCACTCACAAATCCCAAATGCACCTCTTGGCCTTTGGACAGATGAACTGTAGCTATGCCACTTTTCTTTTCCATTGTAGCTGGCCCCTCTGACCCATGCTCTACCCTGGAAATGCACCAGTCCACCTTTTCATGGTCACCACCGAGCAAGGATGGTGCTGAACAACATGGGCCTAGAGGAAGCTTGCAACTCTTTATTGAGGATCTTACGGTGGCGAAGGTGAGCAAGGAAGCACACCAGTGTGGGGGAAAGCATTAACCAAGTCACTTCATGTAAAAAGTTGTGAGGAGACAAAGATTCTGAATTAACAGTACAGCTCAGGATTCGACAGTGAAAGTTCTGTTGCTTCTTTCATTCTGCAGGGCAAGCTGGTGGGAGTTGTTGGGAAGGTTGGATGTGGGAAGAGTACTTTGCTTGCAGCTATCACTGGAGAACTCAGCAGGTAAATAATACCTCCTCTCTTCCATGATTCCATTGGCTAGATTTTAGGCTTAATTTGAATTAGGACTCACCAGATCTCTTTCCTGGAACCTATTTTTATTGCTGGAGCTAAGCCCTAGAAATATGTATTAAAGAAGAACAGAGAGCCAGTCTTGTATAGTGGTTTCCGTTTTGGACTAGGGCCAAAAAGACCTGGGTTCAAATTCAGATTGCCAACAGCCAAGAGAAAAAATGTCCTGTCACTTTAATAAAGGCTTACTTTGTAGAAATAGGCAGGTGAAGCTTTTTCTATCATGGAGGTTGAACAACATCTCCTGGTCAATAACATCCCATTGAGCGTCTATTTACAGGGGCACTTTTTTCCTCCAGGTTTTTGGCAACTCTGCTTCAAATCTCTACTTAGCCACAATGTGCACTGGATGACTCTGGGCCAGTGACTTTCTCTCAGCTTAACTCACTTCACAGAGTTATTGTGAAGATAAAATGGAGGAGCATGTAAGCCTCCCTGAGCTCTTTGGAGGATGAGTGAGAAAAATGTGATAGGTGGATCCAGCTGTCATTCAAGGAGCCTTCCTCCAGTCGTCAGCTTACATCACTAAAGTGGGAGGAAGAAGGATCCTGAGAGTGGAGGGAGACTTCCAACTTTGTTCAGAGGAGTGGTGGGATAGAGGCAGGGTCCACTCCAGTGCTTCCAAGCACATGCAGAATATTCTTTTTCTCCACATTGGTGAGGTTTAAGGACATGGATTCTTGGTCAGACAGCATGACTTGGGGCATGGAAATGTTTAAGGACATGGATTCTTGGTCAGACATGGATTCTTGGTCAGATTCTTGGGGCATGGAAGTTCAGCACCAGCCTTTGTAGAAATTCAGTACTGTTTAGGTTTGTTTTCCAAAGCACCCTCTAACTAAACAAATTCACTTTTTTTGTGTGTGTCCTCCTCCTGATGCTTGTCTACTGGATTCTTGCAGTCAAGGCGAGCTGGTCTATATTGGGGATCTGGAAAGAGGATTTGGCTTAGCCACACAGGAGCCCTGGATCCAGTTTACTAGCATCCGTGAAAACATTCTCTTTGGGAAAGAATATGATGCCAGATTTTACCAGGAAGTAGTGGAAGCCTGTGCTCTGTCTGATGACTTGAATGTAAGAGAACTACAATGAATAAAATTATTTTCAGTGAATCCATGCAGTGTAGGTGAGGAGGACCGCTCCTGACTGTAGGAGGATGGGCACAAGAACACTTGAAGCGGCCTTAAACTGAGTCAGATTGTTGGTCACTCAAGGCCAGTATGGTCTACTCTGAGTGGGAACAGCTCTCAAGAGTACCAGGTTGAGTTTTTCATATAATCTGCTTATCTGATCCCTTTAACTGCAGATGCCAGGATTGAACCTGGGACCTTCTGTGTGCAAAGCATTGTGTGCTACGACTAAGCCACAGCCCCTTTCTGCAGGGTACGGTAAACATAGTATATAATCAAGGAAGAGTGCATCTTCTACAGTTAGAAGTGGTCCTCACCCACCTTGTATGGATTGATGGGGGGGGTCATGATTTTTGAGAGAGAGACACCAGTTTTGTGGTGTGTGTTGGCTTGGTCTAATGTTCCTTCTGATTTATGACTGAAGCTTGAACAGAGCTGGGGGGGAAAGAAAACCCTTTTTGATTCAAGCTTATAGCATCATCTAATGAGAAGTGGCCACCTCACATTCCATGCCTAAGCACTGTGATAGTAAAAGTGCGTCCAAGTGGCACACAGTGGGGTGTTGTCTGTTTCCCTCTCTTTCATGGATTTGGAAGAAGAATCCAAAACTAGTACATGGCCTGATTCTTAGCATTGCTGGATAATGCTTAATCGCTTTGGGCTCTTTGCAGACATTTATCGGTGTCCATGGTGTTACAGCTGTGGATCACTTGGGAGCAGTGTTCCCTCTAAGCTGAGTTAGTGTGTGCTAGCTCACAGTTGTTTAGCCTCCAGTTCACACATTTTCGTCTCAGCTCGGGAAGGATGGCTCCAGAGCAAACTAATCTATGCAACAGCCAAATCGCTCGCTCATAACTTTAATGCCAGTTGCTCACAAAGTAGAATCTTTTGCTCACAAGACTCCACAGCTTAGAGGGAGCATTGCTTGGGAGTCCTGGTTCCTACTTTCCCATCTCTTGTTGTTCTGGATAGGGTGCACTGTGTACAAAAATGTTCCTATTAAGAAGATATAGGACAGAATGAAATGCTGTTGCGTTCATTTATTTATTTTGTCTGTTTAACTTTTAGATCTTACCTGCAGGTGATCAGACAGAGGTAGGTGAGAATGGAGTGACCCTCAGCGGAGGACAGAAAGCTCGAATTGCACTTGCCAGAGCTGTGTACCAGGTAAATAAAGAACTGGATGGGCAGGAGAAGAGGACAAAAGAATGGAATGAAACTGAGGGAACATAAAGATCTCCTCCAAGGGTCTTCCTGAACTATCAGTGGGTTCTGCTCTTGAGAATAATTAGAACTGGAAGAAAAAGGGATGTTTTCTGTTGATTTCTTACCATCCTTTGCAATACTGGTTTCATCTGTGTAATTGTTTTCTTTAGGAAAAGGACATATACCTTCTTGATGACCCACTGGCAGCTGTTGATGCAGATGTAGCCAATCACCTTATGCAAAAGTGCATTCTAGGAATTCTTAGAAACAAGACTAGGATTCTTTGCACTCACAGAACGGAGTTTTTAGAAAATGCTGATATTGTATTGCTGATGGACAGCGGGCGCATACTCAAGACAGGTACAGCCTGGTGCCTTCTGTTGCTTTTGTTCCCCCCACACACACACACACACCGCCGTCTGGTTTGGGTTCTAGCTTTCCACCTTAGAGTGGGAATTACTCACAGGGTGAAGCAGATGGCTGTTTTCATATCAAGTAAGTCGTATTTTACGTGGTGTACTGAGAAGTTAGAGCAGCCTAGGAATGAGTCATGCTGAGTAGCCTCTGCAGTGCCGTGAACCTCTTCACTGTGGTTATTTCATGGTTTTGAAGAAGTTATGATAAATCAACTGCAGTGGATCAATTCTTTTTCATAGATTTGTTTTCTTATTAGTATCGTTTTTTATCGGTGCCACTTTTGGGGCCTGTTGGCTTTGAGGTCAGATATAAATACAATATGTTAAGAAGTTCAGGTGGAAACTTAGAAAATAAGGTTTAAAGCAATCAGATTGAATCGGGGAGTAGTGTGTAAGGGACAGGGGAGGAATAAGAATGATGCAGGTAAACAAACCAATGCTATGCTGGGGATTATTAGGAAGGTTATTGTAAACAGATCAGCCAATATCATAATGCCCCTATATAAATAAATGGTGCAACCTCATATGGAATACTGTGTGCAATTCTGGTCACCACACCTTAAAAAGGATATTATAGCTTTGGAAAAAGTGCAGAAAAGGGCAACTCGAATGATAAAAGGGTTGGAACACTTTCCCTATGAGGAAAGGTTAAAGCACTTAGGGCTCTTTAGCTTGGAGAAAAGACGACTGAGGGGTGACATGATCGAGGTTTATAAGATTATGCATGGGAAAGAGCAGGTAAAGAAAGAGGTACTTTTCTCCCTTTCTCACAATACAAGAACCCGTGGGCACTCCATGAAATTGCTGAGCGGTCGGGTTAGAACGGATAAAAGGAAGTACTTATTCACCCAAAGAGTGATTAACACATGGAATTCACTGCCACAGGAAGTGGTGGGTGCTACAAGCATGGACAGCTTCAAAAGGGAATTCACTGGTGGACCTCCTGATGGCACTGGTATTTCTGGCCACTGTGTGATACAGAGTGTTGGACTGGATGGGCCTTTGGCCTGATCCAACATTGGCATCTCTTATGTTCTTACGTTCTTAACCAGGTTACAGAGAAGAAAATTTCTCTATGGATAAAGCAGGGGAGGATTCCAAATAGATATTCATGGAGTGAGAATGGGCAAGTGTTGGACAAAATTTTACAAGTCTGGAACTATACAGAGAAATAATGCCACTGAGCTGGATCCATACTTTGGTTTCCTTTAACAGAGGGACTTCTGTCAATGGATCAGAATGTTTCTGCCTTCCCTCTCCTACTGTGGCCCACTGAGCTCCCCAGAAGCATCATTTGGGGAGATCAACAGGCTGTATTGGAAGGAGGAGGCAGAAAAGTTATGTCTTCCATTAACAAAAAATTTAGTTTTAATCCAGCCCAGAATCTTGAGCCTCAGGTAGGTGATATAGTGCTGCAGCTGACATATTTTCTAATAGCGTCTGTAAAACATAAAGTTATGCTCTTATTTTTTCTAGGAACCCCAGCCGAGGTTCTGCCACTGGTGGAAGCTGCTCCTAAACTTATGGAGACAGACAAGAGAAAGAAAGACAAAAGTCAGTATCTTTGTACCTTCAGAAGTGCATTGGTATGACCAGAGCTCTTTTTGTAGAAAAAGCCCAGCAGGAACTCATTAGCATAATAGGCCACACCCACCAGCAGAAACTCAGCACATTAGGCCACACCCCTGACAGCACAGCTCATTAGCATAATAGGCCATACCCCCGTGCCTTCCCTTGGCTTGCCTGGACACCGCATGGCTCCAGGGAGCCCAGGCAAGCCAGCCCTTGGACAGGCCAGGGAAGGCACAGGGAGGAATTTAAATGCCTCCCCGATCCTTCCAGGGCCTCCCTTGGCCCACCCGCCTTGGAGTTGCTGGGGGGCGTCGCTCTCCAGGCCTTCCCTCTGTAGCCAGGCACGCAGAGGTTTTGGCTGTAGTGGGCGTGGCCACCTCTGAAGCCAGCCGGAACACCGTTCCTGTGCTTTCCTGCCCAAAAATAGCCCTGGGTATGACTGAATGAGATCAAGGACAGCTGGGCAAAATTCTGGAGAGATGTGGACTCCAGCACTGGGGAATGCCCAACCTCCAAAGAATTGTGCATGTGCTAAGGGCCGTCAAGTCACATCCAGCGTATGGTGACCACGTGAATTAATGTCTTCCAAAACATTCTATCATTAACGGCCATTCTTAGGTCTTGCAAACGGAGGGCTGTCCAGGCTTCCTTTATGGAGTCATGTTGGGTCTTCCTCTTTTCCTACCACCTTCAACCTTTCCTAGAATTACTGTCTTTTCCAGTGACTCTTGTCTTCTTATAATGAGACCACAGTACGATAGCCTCAATGTAGTCATTTTAGCTTCTAGGGAGAGTTCAGGCTTGATTTGATCTTGAACTCATTTATTTGTCTTTTTGGCGGTTCACTATATCCGGAAAACTCTCCTCGAACACCACATTTCGAAGGAATCTACTTTCTTCCTGTCAACTTTCTTCATTGTCTAACTTTCACACCCATGCCTAATAATGGGGAATACTATGTCATGAATTAACTTGACACGTCCTTACACTTCAGAATCTTTTCTGGCTCCTTCATGGCTGCCCTCCCCAGTCTCAATCTCCTTCTGATTTCTTGGGGTCCAGTCTCCCTTTTGGTTGACAATGGAGCCAAGGAATAGAAAACCTCAAACAATTTCAGTTTCTTCATTGATAACCTTAAAGTTGTGAAATTCCTCAGTAGACACTACTTCTGTCTTCTTGATGTTCAGCTGTGGCACTTTCAGCTTTAACCTTTATCAGCAGTCATTTCAGGTCTTCACTTCTGCCAGTAATGTGGTGTCATCTGCATATCTCAAATTATTTTCACTCCACCTTCATTTAAATCTAATCCAGTTTTCCTTATGATACGTTACATATACAGAATAAAGAGACGGAGAGATAAAATGCATCCTTGTCTGACACCTTTGCCAATTGGAAACCATTCTGTCTCTCCATATTCCTCTTTGTCCAGAGTATAGTTTGAGCATTAAAGCAATCAGATGCTGTGGCACACCCATTTCTTTTAAAACCAACCATAGCTTTTTTGTGGTCCACACAATTAAACGCTTTGCTGTAATGTATGAAATACAAGCTGATTTTCTTCTGAAATTCCCTTGTATGCTTCAACAACCAACATAAATTTCCTGCTTCATTTCATGCCCCTAGCCCAAATCTTCCAAAAGTATTTAATTCTGCTTTGTTTCCTACTTTTTTGTTCCAGTTACTTATGATTATCAGCACATCTTATTTAGGCGTGTGATCAATTTCTTCCTGGACACTTGCATAAAAGCTTTCCATTTCTTCCTCATCAGCATCTGTAATTGGGGCATAAACTTGAATAGGCTTTCCATGAAGTCTGATTGATATTATTTGGTCAGACTTTGCATTATAGCCCTGATTGCCTGTGCTGCATCTTGCCTGGCTATTAAAGCAACTCCGTTTCTTTTGAATTTGTCATTTCCCAAGTAAAATACTTTGTAATTTTCTGACTGAAAAAGTCTGATCCAGTCCACTTTAGTTCGCTCACTCCCGGGATTGCGGTGTTTAAATATTCCATTTCTTTATGATTTCAAGCTTACCTTGATTCATACTTCTCATGCTCCATGTTCCTATTACGTGTGTCGAACAGCTTTGGACTTTCCTTTTGCATCCATTCACGTCAACAACTGAGCATCCTTTTGGCTTTAGGTCCAGTTGTGTCATTTAATCCAATTGCATCACTGAGAACAGTGCTAGTCATAGCTGTCCTCAGCAGTTCCCCATAGCTCATTGCCAAAAGAGCAGATTCATAAAATGAAGGGGTGACATTGCTAGGAGGAAGGGTAGGTCTTTATCACTCTTTTCCCTTTTTAATTTGACTAAATCACAAAATGGCAGAGTGTTGCAGAGCAAAGTGGGTGCATGGGCTCTGTTACTGGACAGCAGTGATGTCATCAGTATGACCAGTATAGGCCCCTGATATCATGACAGATGCATTCAGTAAACATTGAATAGTATAATCCATGTGCTGCCAGTGGGAGGGAAATACATTTTTCCAGCAGCAAAATGTTACGACTTGAATACTGGTGAAAACTCCATAAACCTGCAACAGAAGTACAACTTTGGCAACATATGCCTGGATTTGCAATATAATGGTACAGATAATGGCACTAAAAAGCTCGTCTAGAATGGTCTGTGATTACTAGCAACTAAATTAGAAGTAGATAGTTGATACTTTGTGTTCTTACAGGAAGGCAAGTTATATTCCTTTAAGCAGGAGGCACTGGGGAACGTTCTGGGGGGAAGGAATGGTGTCTGGATGTATACATACAGATTTGTGTACTTCTTCGATGACTTGTTTGGTGTCTTTGTTAAGGGATGTCCTTGGCTTGGGCTGTATTATAAAATAAAGGAGAGGCACTGCACAGATTCTAAAGGAGCTCTGCTTGCATCCTGTGACCTGTAGTTCTGTTTCTCTTTTCAAAGTTCCTACAGAACACATCCAGGAGGAGGACGTAGAGCCTGAAGAAGAGCAACCAAGCTGCTTTCTCAAGCAGGAAGAAGAGAAGAAAGAAGGGGCAGTGGCCTTCCTTGTCTACAGAGCATATTGGCTGGCTGTGGGCAGCTGCCTAGCATTGTGTGTCCTCCTCTCTCTGCTGCTGATGCAAGGTAAACACTAGTTATTGCTTTCATGGGCTAGAGACTTTTCAAGTCAGCAACAAATTGTCCTAGTAGACTGAAATGCTCCCTCATTGGTTCTGAATCTGATAATTAAATGGACACAAGACTGACATGAAAAAATAGTAACCTTCAGAAACCACTGGCAGAATGTTTCAGTCTACCGGGGTACTACTGATTTAAGTCAGCATTCTTCAAGACTGGATCTTCAAAAGGGAGAAGCTACTGAATTAGATTTTTTAAAGGTTTAATTGTATTAATCGTGGCTTAAAGAGCCAAAACCTTTCTTGGCTGCTACAGGCGTTATTCATTTGCTTTATATAATTAGGGAGACTAAGAGCATAATCCTAAAAACACTTTCCTGGGAGTAAGCCCCACTGAATAGACTGGAGTAGAATTTGGAGTAGACCCACTTAGGATTACTATATGTTATCAGTTACAGCTACACTGTGCTCATTTTGTATAATTTTGCACAGAAATATCACAAGCCTTTCAAAGGCTTTTTGCAATTTTTTTCTGTACGTATACATGGCATACGATATTTAATAGCAAGGGGCTGGCCCCTGTCTAGATAACCAGATCTGCATAATGGGGCCAGCCACACCACAAACCCAGCTCGGAAGGAAAACTCGATTTACAGAGAAATGCTAATTTAGGGGTGAACAATCCAAAAGCTATACCTGAGAGATGGCACAAACTGACAAATACCAGGCAATGTTTTGGCTTACCCTAGCAACCCAAAATGCACTATGGAAACTGGTGTTGACTGGGACAAGGAGGAAGCGAATCACAGCTAGTAAGAGCTGACAGCGGCGGCGGGGGGGGGCTTCTCAGTTGGGGCTTCTCAGCACACTCAACTTACTCTTGATTTTCTTTGCAGTTGATCCACCAGCATTGGAATCAGTTTGAGCATGGCTCTTCCACATATCTCCCCCCCCTCCCCCCCTTTGTTGTTTCTGTTTATAAGTTAATTGTATACGTTTATGATATTCTATACCTATGGTTTATTTCCATCTTTGTAAACTGCTGAGAAAACCCTTTGAACTTGAAAGACATGTTAAATGTTTTAACTCAAAGAAATAAAATATGAAATCAACTTCTTTCTAAGATTCTGAGTTAGCAGCAGTTTTTTAAAGCAAGATCTTAACCATCCATGCAGCAGAAGAACATGAACATTGTTATTTTTTCTTATGAATGCAGAAAATGGACGGTAGAGGTAGGGTTGCCATTCCCCGAATGGGGGCAGGGGTTTACCTGCTTTTGGGGTCCCCAATCTGCCGCCCCCAAGCCAGCCAGCTGGGGGAACCCTGCCCCCAAAGAACCCCATCTGCACCAATGTGCCTCATGCAATGACATCACCCAGAGGTGACGTCATCATGCAGGACATATTGTGTGTGTGGGGGACATTCTGTTGTTTGAGGAAAAAACTCTATGGTTACCATAGAGTTTTTCCTCAAACAATAGAGCATCCACTGCAACGTGCCCTGCGCAATTATGCCAATTCGCATGTGTGGCGAAAAGTGTGCATAATGTAAGGTGGCGCAAGTAGCAGGCACTTCCCTTAGATCCCTGACTATGTCTCCCTGCCCTTATAAATCATTTATGCTCTCGCAGTCCTTTTTATGGCTCCTGACGTATTTTATTCAAACAAAAACAAGTTTGTTGACTATACATTATATGAAACTAGATATATTTATGTATGTGTGTGCCTACCTACTGCCAGGGTTTGGGTTTCTAAGCTCAGGATTCTGGACTCCATCTGAAGGTGCTGCCTCTTAAAGGCCATTCAGGCTTTCTTCTGTGATTATCAAATAGGTGGGTTTACTCAGAATCTCCAAGGCATTGTGAATTTTGGGAATGTTGTCAAGTTTACAATGCCATCTGGATCCTTTATTGCTCTTTTTTTTAGAGGGACGACTGATGTTGCCTGATTCTGGCTGCTCCAGGAATTGCGGCTCTATAGATGGACTGGGGTCTTTATGATGCCACTGGAGCATTTCTTATGATATTCCAAAACCTTTTTGAGTAATTTTGGAAGAAATTGCTTCCCATGACCATTTGCCCCATATAACAGTCAGCAGACTATTTCCCTCCTAATTTCTTTTATTTTTTAATTACATTTTATTAATAGATGCAAACAAATTAACAATTAACAAAACAGGTAAGTTGGAGTATACAGGAAAAGAGTGCTAGAGTTGCTAAAAAGAGTATTACATTTTCAAAGTTACAGTATCAGGTTACATTTTTCAAATCAAGGAGACATTCACATCTTACCATAAGTTTAAGTCGTTAACTGTAGTAGGGATTTCACCCTGATCAATTAAATATTTCACAATAGGGAACCAAATCATAGCGTGATCTAAAGAAGATTTGTATACATCTCTTCCATCTACATTTTCCGTTATTTTTGACATTATATAGAACTTCCAAAGTTTAGCATGCTAATGATGTTGTTGAGGACTTTTAGTGTCTTTCCAAAATAAGGCTACTGCATTTTTGGCTGCTGCCAACAAAATGGCTATTCTTTTCATAGTACTACTAGATTGTATATGCATTTGCCATCTATTTAGTAGTATATGTTCCACTTCCCTCTTAATTTCTCATATGAGAATGAGGTATTCACTCTATCACATGTTCTTGTAGCACTTATTCTGACTAATTAGGGTCAGTATACATGGTTATTTCATAAACTCCATTTATCATGAAAGTAAAGAAGAAGTGTCACCTTGTGGTGAAGGTTTTTTTAACTTCCTAATTTACATGAATGTGTCTCAAGAGAACTTTTGATCTGATCTTTGTGCACTTCTGCAGCTTCCAGAAATGTCTCTGATTGGTGGCTGTCAAACTGGATCTCTAGCCTACCCCATGCAGAGAATGCCTCTATCAGGAGCTTGTCATGTCTGCCTTCCTCACAGCTGCTGCTCTTCTCCCATGGCGGACTCATGTATGTATGTGGATATAAGCTGCAAGATAAATTTAAGAGCTGATTTATCAGATGGAGATTGAGGTGCTTTGCATAGAGAGAATTGGAAGCATACATTCTGGCAAAATGAACAGCTAATAAAGGCCTTCCGTGATTTCTTTAACTTTCTCATTGAGAGCTTCACTAAACCAAGAGGAAAACTAGACTGCGTTTCTCCCAGATGTCACTAGGACAAAGACTGGATCATTTGCCTTATAAAGCTAATTTTTTCCCCCTGTCAGTCCAAAAACAGCAGGCCCTGGGTAGGATATAGGAGACTTAAGTTTCCTGGGAAATAATGGACCTAGGGAAGAAAAATGAAAGAGTTGCCCTGAGGATGAATTTCCTACTGATGACTGAAGCATGTGTGGAGCATGTAGGCTTCTGGATTGCACTGACTGAAGTGGTTAACGCTTCTGGACTGACCAAAACACACAGTGGGAGGGAAGTAATAAGGACCATGTTTCCTGGAGGCTTCGTATGGGGATGTCTGCCAATGCTTTTGAGTGTTATTGAAAGGCCAAGAGCTGGGCAGGGGAAAGGGTAGCATGGTAAGCTGCCTACTCTAACTAACCTAGCCTCTTTCTCTCAGTTCTCCAGTCCTGGCCTCCATCCCTTCAAATGGCACTTTGGATGTGAAGTTTTACCTGACTGTGTATGGCAGCATCGCTGGGGCAAACTCTGTCTTCACTATCCTGCGGGCCTTCCTCTTTGCCTATGGTACCATCCGTGCTGCTGCAGTCATTCACAATCGACTGCTCAGGAGGATAATGAAGGTAAATGTCTGTCAGGCAGGTCTGTAAGCTCTACGAGGGGAGAGCGTCCAGTTGGCAATGAAAAGGAGCTTCTCCTCAGCCCCATGTCTACTTTTGTCTTTTAACATCCCCAGGCCCTGCTTTATTGCTATGGCTCTTCCTTGGGGAGGTTTCCTTTAACTGAAAAGTAGCCATTCTGTACCAAGTTGCTAACCTTGAACCCAAAAGTTCCCCTGAGGGAAATGTCTTGAGGAGAATATCTCCACTATGCACTTGGAAGCACAGTGATTCCTATGCATTGTATTGCTAGGGCCGCATCCTCACTGTGTGAGAGAGGTATTGAAGGTGGCTTATTGCCAAAAAAAAATAATCCTTCTAGTTAATTATTCCTATAGCATCTATTTTTTGTCTAGAAAGTAGGACTGCCAGCCTCCAGGTAGTGGCTGGAGATCTCCTGGGCCATAGAGAGTAGTTCACCTGCAGAAAACAGCCCCTTGGAAGGTGGACCCTGTCAGGTGTTACACTCTGCTGAAGTCCCTCCCCAAACCCCGCCCTCTCCAGGCTCTACCCCCCCAAATCTCCAGGTATTTCCTAACCCAGAGCTGGCAACACTACTAGAGAGTGCTTTCAAATCTCTTTATTTCTCTCCTCACAATGATCATGTGGACTGAAGTTAAGCAGAAACAGTAACTTGTCCAAGGTCTCCCTCCTCCTTCCTCCCCAGGATGCTTCATGGCTGGAATAGGGAGGTGAATTTATACCAGGATGAGACCTATCATTGTAGCTGCCGAGGGATCGGCAAATTTGTACAGATCAACTGGTTTCAAACAAACCGTTTCCCCTCTTCTTTCTTCATAGCTTATGCTGGAGGGTGAAAGCAGATTAGGTTCCCTTTCCTCTCAGCTTTGATTCTAGAGGCCTAATAGGGTGTGATGTTTTCAGATTATACACTTAATGGGCACATAGTTTCAGGTGGGTAGCAGTATTAGTGTATTACTTCTCTTGTATTACTTTTTCCATTAAGGTTCAGTCTTTTGGGGGGTATAAACAACAGTCTGCCATATGAGTAGGTATAAATATTTGGTGCTTTGGGTACAAGGACAGAGCAGCTAATAGCACACATGTCCTTGCCATGGAAAACACCTGTGTGAACTTGTCACATTCTGAAATGCTTACTGTTTCTGGCATAGGTTAATCTCTGTGTTGGGGGGGGGGAGATAACATGTGGAATCGCCTACGTATACAGTGTGTCACAGCCCACTGTGACTCTCACTGCTTTTGATTCTTCATTGACAGGCCACAATGACCTTCTTTGACAGTACACCAGCAGGCCGGATCCTTAACCGTTTCTCCTCCGACTTGTACTGTGTGGATGACAGCCTGCCCTTCATGCTGAACATCTTCCTGGCCAATGTGTTTGGGCTGCTTGGCATGCTAGTGATGATCACCTATGGGCTGCCTTGGATTGGCCTAGTCCTCCTGCCCTTGGCAGCTGTTTACTACTCCATCCAACGCTATTACCGGCGCACCTCCCGGGAGCTCAAACGCCTCTACAGTCTCACTCTGTCACCTATCTACACTCACTTCTCAGAAACCTTGACAGGCCTCAGCACTATCCGGGCTACCAGGGCTACAGGCAGGTGAGTTTCGCTCTTCAGCCAGGGAAGGTCTAGACATGCACAGGTAGTGCTGACTTGAAGATACGGCCTTATGATGACTGGCAAAAGAGGCAGCAGTAGCTGTGAAGGAAGTATTTTTGATGCTAACCTCAGGACTGTATCCAGTCTAGGTTTGAGACAGAGAATCAGCTGCGATTGGAGCTCAACCAGCGCTGCCGTTTCGCCAGCAACACTGCCATGCAGTGGTTGGACATTCGGCTTCAAATGATTGGAGTAGCTGTTGTTACAGCTATTGCAGTGATCGCTATTATCCAGCATCAGAGGAAACTGGGGAATCCAGGTAAGCCACCTGACACTGGACTCTGTAGAAGCCGTCTTCATCCATGCCTGAGGCTGTGTCCTTCCCCTGATGTCTGTCTTCTTTCATCTCAGAGTAGTGTAGCTTTCCACCTCTCCCAATCTACAGCATCAATCTCTGCCCCCTTCCCCATTAAAATGGCACCTCTCGAAGTTAACGGATCCCGTTGTTTTCTAAGATACCAAAGAGGATTTTGAAAAACATGCCTGCAACTCTGGTGAGGGCCTGGAATGGCATGTTCTTCCAAGTCGTACTCACTCCTCAGTGCCCTATCAGATGGAGCTGAGTCACCACTCATTGTCTCAACTAGTTCTCTGTTCCTTTGAGCTGCTTTCAGAGTAGGGGATTCACACCTTCTCTCACTGATGCTTTTTGTGGGGAACCTTTTTTGTCCATTTTAGGTCTTGTGGGCCTAGCCCTTTCTTATGCTCTGTCAGTCACAAACTTGCTGTCTGGGCTCATCACCAGCTTCACACAAACAGAGACCATGATGGTGAGTGTGGAACGGGCAGAGGAGTATGCGACAGAAATCCCCATAGAGCCTCAGGAAGGGCTGCTCCAGGTAAGTCCTCCTTGTACAATCTTAACTTGTCAATACTGTTCTCATCTGAGCAATGAGATATGCATTTCCCACAGTCCCCGAGCATAGCATGCCTCATGATTGCTCTCTTTAAATAGTTGAAAGGCTGTCATTTGGAGGAGGGCAAGGAGCTGTTCCAGTTGGCAGCAGAGGATAGGATCCGAAGCAACAGGTTTAAATGACATGCAGAAAGGTATCGGCTGGATATTAGGAAAAACCTTTCCAGGTCAGAGTAGTTCAAAGGCGGAATCAGCTGCCTAGGGAGGTGGTTAGCTCCCCTTCACTGACAGCTTTCAAGAAGAGGCTGGACGAATATTTGCCAGAGATGCTTTAGGCCGATCCTGCACTGGGCAGGGGGTGGGGACTAGATGGTCTGTATGGCCCCTTCTGACTCTATGATTCTATGATTATTCATTGGTCACCCACCAGTCTGTGGCTCACAGTGATGTTTATATCATCTGCCCTGGTTATAGTTCTCTTTTAGTGAAGAAGGGCATCCGGGGGAAGGTGGAACCCATCCCAGTGGGGACTGAAGAGAGGGCTCCTCCAGACTCTGTCTCTTTCAAAAGGAGGGCCTTTCCCCATCCTGATACTGCTTTCACCAGGAGAGCCGAGGGTTTGATGGCCTTTCACTGCAGAACCAACTGGCCTTTGTAGTTGTTGTCTTCTGCCAGTTTGGACAATCCATGGCTAAGGTGGGGAGGAATTTATTTCCTTTGCTTGGAAGCACAGATTCCCAATGTAAAACGTAAACTAATAACCCCTTCCAGTGAGGAAGGATTGGAGAAAAGTCTCCCTTGCCCACAAATCCTCCTCTGCTCTAACTAAGCAGCTGTTTTTCTTCCCCTCCCTTGCTCTACTATATACCCTCAGTTAAATATGAACTGTCTTCCTTGTAACCTGGCAAGCTGACAATTAGCTCGAGATAAATGGATTCAGTTGTGTTTTTTTGCTTACCCAGGAAGGTTGTCTTTGTTTTTAACTTCTGAACAGCAGAATGCAAATTAAAGATTTCTGTTCCAAGACTGCACATCTGATATACACAAAATGGGTGTGGTGTCATTTCATTACACTTGGATGCTGGAAGACCAAATCAAAAACAGCCTGTAGAAGGAACTGGTGGGAGGTAGAAGATATTTGTTATCACTCCATCTCTTCTTCCTTCAAGGTTGCATCTGATTGGCCAAGTCGAGGTCACATAGAGTTCCAACAAGTTGTACTAGCCTATCGGCCTGAGCTTCCCAATGCCCTGGATGGAGTGACTCTTACTATCTACCCTGGGGAGAAAGTAGGGATAGTTGGGCGCACTGGGTCTGGCAAATCCACTCTCTTCTTGGCTCTTTTCCGAATGGTAGAGCTTAGAGCTGGCCGGATTCTCCTGGACAATATCGACAGCCATTACGTTAGCCTGAAGGAGCTGAGGTAAGGAGATTCGACAAATGACTTTTAAGGAGGAGGGGGTGCTAAGTGCTGTCAAGTTGCTTCCAACTTATGGCGACCCTCTGAATTAATGTCCTCCAAAGTTTCCTGTCACTAACAGCCTTGCTCAGGTCTTGCAAATGAGGTCCGTGGCTTCCTTGATCTAGTCAGTCGATCTCATGTTGGGTCTTCCTCTTTTCCTGCTGCCTTCAGCTTTTCCTAGCATGATTGTATTGCATAGTGACTCTTGTCTTCTCATGATGCGACCAAAGTACGATAGCCTCAGTTTAGTCTTTTTAGCTTCTAGGGAGAGTTCAGGCTTGATTTGATCTAGAACCCCCTTATTTATATTTTTGGCAAGTCCGGGTCTCCGTAAAACCTCATCCAACGCCACATCTCAAAGGAATCTACTTTCTTCCCATCAGCTTTCTTCATTGTCCAGCTTTCATACCCATACTGGAAAATCCTTCTTTTACTTTCAGCAGGTTCTGGTGGAATGCCACGGTCATGGGGCTAATTAGTATTAGTCCTTGCCCAGCCATTCTTTAGTTTAGTCATGGTGGGTTAAACTCTGCAGTTACTCTGCACGTGTGTGATAGGGCCAGTGTTCCCCTATTTCTTCGGCAAGTGGCTTGAACTGAAGACAGGTAATGCGGCTGGGCAAGGCTGTCTCCCTAAGCTGTTTCTGCCTGGCAAGCCTTGTTCTGTTCTGTCTTTTAGGTCTAGATTGGCCATCATCCCCCAAGACCCATTCTTATTCAGTGGGTCAGTCCGTGAAAACTTGGATCCTCAGGGGCAATACACAGATGCTGACCTATACCAAGTCCTGGAGCAGTGCCATCTGCAGGAAGTGATTACAGAGATGGGTGAGTCCCGTTTGTGGGGAGGAGAAGGGGAAGGGAGCAAGCTTGCTAAGGGGAAATGGGCATGAAGATTCAGGAGCTGGTGGGCTTGCAAACCACAGAGAACATCTGCTAATACCTACAAAGATGGTAATGGTTGAGCTCCAGAGGAAACAGCTGTCAATTCATTAACTGTAGTCTTTAAACCGGTGGAAGGTTTGGGAAAGGAACAGAGGAGTTTCAGCCTCTTTGCTTCTTGCTGAAAACCCATCGCATTCCAACACTACTTGCTTGTACCAAGTTTCTCTTTTCTGAAATGTCAGATTCATATGGACCAATGCTAAGCAGATGTGAGTTTTGAATCCTGTCAGGCTCTTGAGTGGGATAACTAAACCCTAAAAGCGGCTTTACTCTCTTGCTCTATGCAGGTGGATTAGATTGTGAACTGGGGGAAAGAGGGAAAAGTCTCTCGGTGGGACAAAGGCAACTGGTTTGTCTAGCAAGGGCTCTACTTACCCAGGCCAAGGTGAGTACTGTTGTTTCAGACTAGGTTGCTCAGACACAGCAAAGACTCTTTGCTTTGGGCCAGGCTTTGCCTGCCGACGGGGGGAGATTTCTGCTTCAAGAAGACACAAGATTGCAGTTCCCCTTTTTCAAAGAATGTCACTGTGGTGGGAAATTTGCAGAAAACAGCAGGCAAAATAATAAAGGGGTTGGAGCACATCCATATATGGAATGGCTAAAGCATTTGGATTTCTTTTTAGTTTAGAAATGATTTAAAAGTGACATGACAAAGGCTTATAAAACTGTACATGTTGCAGAGAAAGTGGATGAAGGAATTTTTTGCTTCATTTCTCACAACACTAAAATGTGTGGTCTCAAAATAAAATTGATTTGGGAGGGGGAAGTATGTTCTAACGCAATACACAACATATGAAATTTAGTAGTAAGAATGCTGTGATGGCCACTGATTTGGATGGCTTTAAAAGGGGTTTAGGCATTCACAGAGGATACCTCCATCAGCAGCTGCCTACCAACATAGCTAATGGAATGCTCATGTCCAGTAGTGGAATGCTTCTGGGTACCAACTTCTGGAGAATGAGCAATAGGGAAGGATTTCAAGCCCAGTTTCTGAGCATCCTGGAGGCATCAGGTTGGCCCCTGTAGGAAACAAAGGTGCTGGACTAGATGGCTGCTTGGTCTAATCTACTATGGCTGCTCTTATGTTGTTAAGATTCCAGGACCTGAATGAGTGACTGGATTCAGTGTGCTGTAGAAATGAGCCGAGGGACCATGAGCTGTATTTGTGACTTCCTTCATTTCCTACAGAATGCTTTTAAAAAACCTACTTTTTTTCAATGTTAGGTTCTGTGCATTGATGAGGCTACTGCAAGCGTGGATCATAAGACAGACAGATTGCTCCAGCAGACCATCCGTCAGCGATTTGCAGACAAAACAGTGCTAACTATCGCTCACAGGTGCGGTTTTGTTTTCCCATCAGGTACTGTTCTCAGGTGGCTCAAGTGGTTAAGACGCTGAACTGCAGGCAGTGGAAGGTTGGTAGTTCAGCAGTTCGAGACCCGAGTGTGCCGCATGACGGAGTGAGCTCCCATCTCTAGTTCCAGCTCCTGCCAACCTAGCAGTTCGAAAGCAAGAAATTGCAAGTAGATAAATAGGTACCACTTCGGTGGGAAGGTAACAGCGTTCCGTGCGCCTTGGTGTTTAGTCATGCCGGCCACATGACCACGGAAATGTCTTCGGACAGCGCTGGCTCTTCGGCCTTGAAACTGAGATGAGCACCGCAACCCTAGAGTCGGATTCGACTGGCTTTCGAGCAAGGGAACCTTTACCTGTGACCTTTTTACTGTTCTCAGGTCTCCACACAGAGGCAAAGCAGGGTGTTACTCAGTCATTTAGAGATCACCTTGCCTAACATTAGCTTCCTTTTAATTCTCAGACTGTCATCTTCCTCAACAGGCTATTGACTACTTGCTGCAATAAGCCACAGTGGCTGTCAGATGGCAGCATGGCTTTTAATTTACAAATCCAAAGCACTTTTAGGAACTATTTACTGGTATGGCCAGACTTCTGAGGAAAGACCACGTAAAACACATCCAGGAGCATTTAGGGACCAAAATGTGGAAATGAAATATACCTTGGCTATGTTTATTTTGAAATGCTCAGTTCCTAAACTAGATTTTGAGTTTTTGACTGGCAACATTATCACACATTCTGCCATTTTAAATCAGGGTAATATGGGTCGCATTTACTTTGTAAATCTAATATTTATATCTGCTGTCTCAAGAACTAGTTAAAATTTTGTAGTAGTTCACTGTATGTTTGAATCAGTGTGGTTTGCATCATTGTACACACTGAGATGATACATACAGACTTTTAAAAATACAATTTCTGTGTAGATTGTACGCATCCAGTTTTTATTCTGTATATATACACTTATAGAATGGAGAGTTTTGCTGTTTCTGATATGTTCCTTAAAGCTGAAATAGATACCATGCATATTTCTAGAGATCCCAGAGTCCCATTTTTGAGGAGAAAAGCAGGGTAGAAGTATTTAAATTTATTTCATTGATATTTATCAGTGTTTTGCCCCATATTTAAAACCAATGAACTTCTATGAAAAGCCAAAGAGCAGGATTGAGCAACTAAATAGAATCATAGAGTCACAGAGTTGGAAGGGGCCATACAGGCCATCTAGTCCAACCCCCTGTTCGATGCAAGATCAGCCTAGAGCATCCCTGACAAGTGTTTGTCCAGCTGCTGCTCAAAGACTGCCAGTGAGGGGGAGCTCCCCACCTCCCTAGGCAGCTGATGCCACTGTTGAACAACTCTTACTGTAAAAAAGTTTTTCCTAATATCCAGCTGGTACCTTCCCGCCCTTAATTTAAACCCATTATTACGAGTCCTATCCTCTGCTTCCAACAAGAACAGCTCCCTGCCCTCCTCTAAGTGACAGCCCTTCAAAATACTTAAAGAGAGCAATCATGTCCCCCCTCAACCTCCTCTTCTCCAGACTGAACATTCCCATATCCCTCAGCCTTTCCTCATAGGGCTTGGTCTCCAGGCCCCCAATCATCCTCATTGCTCTCCTCTGTACCTGCTCCATTCCGTCCACATCCTTTTGAAGTGAAGTCTCCAGAACTGCACACAGTACTCCAGGTGTGGCCTGACCAGTGCAATGTACAGCGGGATTATGACATCTTGTGATTTGGATGTTATGTCTCTGTTGATACACCCCAAGATCGCATTAGCCATTTTTGTCGCTGCACCACACTGGCTGCTTATATTTAACTTACAGTCCACCCTTACCCCAAGATCTTGTTCACACACACTGCTACCCAGAAGCGTATCCCCCATCCAGTATCCATGTTCCTCATTTTGTTACCCAGATGTAGAATTCAGCACTTATCCTTGTTCATATCCGCCCACTTTTCCAGTGTGTTCAGATCTCATTGAATTCTATGTCTATCTTCTGGTGTGTTTGCTGCTCCTCCCAATTTTGTGTCATCTGCAAATTTAATGAGTAGCCCCTCCACACCCTCATCCAGATCATTTAGAAAAATATTGAATATGCCAGGCCCAGAACTGAGCCCTGTGGCACCCCACTGGATACCTTCCTCCATTCAATTTTGCTGAATGACAAACTGTTCCTCTAAAACTTACAGTCCTAGAGAGGCTGAAGGTGCTCAGCTGGAATAGCACATTAACTAGTTATATACACTATGCAGACAAAATCAGAATCCAAAAAATACAGGCATTCCCAGGGATGGCAGGACATGGCAGGACATGGTGTGCTTGGTTTGAGCATCATCACTGGTGTTTTTGGATTTTAACATTACCTGCCCTGCAGGCTAGAAGCAGGACATGCTAGTATAAATTAAACAAACTGAGAGGAAATTCAAAACTTATGGGTGGAGTCTGCCACACGTTCTTGTAGGATAGTACAGCTATCCATTGGCAGCTATGTATTGGTTAAAATGAATGATCCAGTTGTGCAAGCTGCACATCTGAGCCCAGCTTACTTAAAGATTGCAGTCTTGTACAAAATTAGGCTGCTTAAATCCCAGTGGATTCAGTGGGACTGAAGCTATCCAACTTTGCACACAGTTGTGGTCTTAGTGGGCATTTTGCTGGAGTAATTGTCTTCATAACAGCCAAATATGAATATTGTTTAACACGCCAATGAAGACGTTTAGACCTCTACCAAATTAAGGCAAGACCTGCAATGACACGCAAGAAGTAAAATTATGCCTCTGACAAAGGACATATTACAGCTAAATGTTGTTTGGGAACAGCAGTGCAGGAAGTTGGCAGAGAACTCTTCTCTTGTATTCAAGCACAATTTGGCAATATGCTCAGATGCTTCCTGGCAGACTTCCCTGTGTTGACTCCTACAAATCATGTTGGAAGGAAATGGACTTCAAACACAGCACCCTAAGTAGGAGTGTATTTCTAGCTGTGCAGCAGGTACATTTATTGGACTCAGGTTTTTGGTAATATTATAGGGCTGATATATGTATACAAGCAGCAAAAAGATATTGAAAATATCACTTAAAAGTGTTTGCAATATTTCTTGGAAGAGTGTCTTCCTTACATAATGGGGCAGAGTCCCTATGGTCAGCCTCTACAATTACACATTCAGTTGCAACAACCTTTTGTTCAGTCGCAGTTACAGGGATCCCAACAGTGCCTGGCATCTTTTAGACATGCTACAGAAAACCTTACTGTAACAACAGCCGTTCTACAAATAGCTTTGTTTTTGGATTTTCGTTTTCTCTGCATCAGCATCATCTGTATTCATTTGGGGCAAAAATGTTTATTAAAGCATGTATGTCCTACCTGTCTATCCAAAAAATGGTTCCTCTGGGTGTGTTGCAATAAGTTAAGACACAGAGCACAAAATTGCAATTCAAACAAAAGCTATCTGCTATAAAGCAGCCCCTAGTTTTCCTCTTAACAATGTCACTGAAAACCAGCATTACTAAAATACTCAAGATCACCCCAAATCCTAAAACTACAGTGTGGTCAGTGAAGGCCGCTGTAAAATGGACAGTCTTTTGTGTGTGGTGAAATACCATTAAAGGAGGGGTGACAAGGCAAACCTCCCTCAGAGACACCATTACACCCCCCCCAAGCTGTACTAAATTATGTGCCTGAACTACAGATTACTTTTCCTCAGGTAAACCTTTGGATCTATCAATCCTTGCATCTGTCATTCCAATTCCAATTACCTTTATTGGCATAACAATACAAGTCAGCCCATATGCCAACAAACAGAAACCATCAAAGTATAGCGATTTGTATCATTGTATATGGCATCTGTCATTCCTTGAACATAGCAAAGAAAAGAATTGTGTTCTGTGGAGTACAATTGTGCAGGTCATTCAAGGATAAAATCTGGATTAGTATAACAAGAGTTCTACTGCATCTGTATAACCTTGTTGGGCCAGGCCATGTGTGTCATAAAATGTAATGCCAGGTAGCGGAGATATAAACTTTATAAAGGACACAAACACAAAGGGTTTTTTTTACTTAAAATAAAAACATGCTTAAAACATTAGCACTCTTGCAATATTTTGTTTATTTAACAGTGTCTGATAACTGACACCTCTTGCTCTGAATTATTCCATCAAAATGTCTGTGCTTACAATCTTGCTGTTCAGTTGTATATCTGTAAGCTGTTCAGGTGTATATCTGTAAGCTACAAACCTGCGATGATGCAGCAGCAGCAAAACTGGAAGAAGCAGAAGACAGCCAGTTCCACTGCGGGGCCGATAGAAGCCCTCCTGGGGCCTGATCCGGCCCCCAGGCCACATGTCTGACACCCCTGCCCTAAACTGAATGGTGGGAGTCCCTGGTGATTGAAGAGCATGTACAGATCATTCATTTATAACTTGATCTGCCCAGCAGGCGCTGTTGCAGCATAACCAGAAACAGGAAATCCGTGCTTTACACTCTAGTGCTTCTAGATCCCTGCCCTAAACTGAATGGTGGGAGTCCTTGGTGTTCTGCACTGTGATTGAAGAGCATGTACAGATAATTCATTTATAACTTGATCTGCCCAGCAGGCGCTGTTGCAGCATAACCAGAAACAGGAAATCCGTGCTTTACACTCTAGTGCTTCTAGATGGCTGAATGCACTTTTTCAAAATACTAGAATTTTAACACTATTAACTTCATTGGGACTTGCTCCTAAACAAGAGTGCACACACAAGATGGACACTTTAGTGTTTCAGTACTTCTCAATGATATATCTGAAGCTGAGCCTTAGGCCTAGTTCTTCTGAACTCATGAGGTGGTAAACTTCCTTCACGTACCTGAATAGGGTTACCAGCCTCAAGGTGGGACCTAGAGTTTTCTTAGAATTACAGCTGACTGCAGACATCAGTTTCCCTGGAGGGATGGCAGCTTCAGAGGGTGAACCATATGGTATCACAACCCCCCCTGAGCTCTCTCCCCTACCAAACTCTGCTGGCCAGGTCCTACCCCTTAATCTCCAGGAGTTTCTGAAGCAGGAGCTGGTGAACCTAGTGTGAATCTACAAGATACACAATGGATTGCTGCCCTGTTTTTTTTTAAATCCTTTTACTGCCTGAACTGTTATTTATAAGAATTGGGCCTCTGAAAAAGCAAGTGGCAGTTACATATCTGTATTAGATGCCTGTGGCAATATGGCTCTGTCTAGCAGGGAGTGATCTCCTGTACCCTACTTTATTGTAATAAAAGAGAGGGAAGTAGCTGAAAGTTTCTACCTTTCCTACTAGATGAAGCTTGCCCTGCTTAACCTGTTGCCTTTTCTCCTACCAGGCTGAACACCATTTTGGATTCAGACCGAGTGCTGGTGATGCATGCTGGGAAGGTGGCAGAGTTTGATTCCCCTGCTGTCCTCAGCAAGAAGCAGGACTCCATGTTTCAGCACCTCCTGCACAGTGGGCAGCAGTGACCTCCCTGCAGGTTCTTTAAGACTTGGCACCGTATGCTTGTGAAGCATCCCCTCTGCTGTGTGGTCCCTTTCCTGCCATTCCCCTCTATCCCTTACTTTAGGGGAGTATGCACTCCACATTATGCCGGGCATCTTGCTTTACTTGTGAGTGAATGCAGAAATTTTCTCCTTGACAAAAGGGATTCCAGTTGGTGATGCATTCGGTACTACAGACTGAGTTGTGCCTAGGTAGAATGGGTGGAGGAGAGCATTTGGGGGGGGGGGCAGGTAAGAAGTGTATGTGGATCGACAATGGCTTTTACACAAGTCAGGCAAATGAGTATCTACTTGTAATGAGCTGGTGTTTTTAAAATAAATATAACATTTGATTTTCTTAAGAACCGTCTTTCTTTGAGGCTTCAGCATTAATATGAGGACTCCTCCATTCCCCCCACTTTCCCAGTGGACAATCCCCCTGCAGCCCCCTCCCCCCCCCCGATTTCATCTTTGTGTTATTTGAGTCAGTAATTCTGAGGGGGGAAATAGCAGTTTGTTCCTCAAGCAGTTTTGCTTGACTCCTCATTTCCTGGCACGTCTTTCTCCCTGCTTAGAGTATTCTACTTGTCTGGACTTGATGTAAATGTTTCAGGGGAATTTATTGAAATAACTTTGATAAAAGATATCACCTAACTCATTTTATCTCTTGTACTTTGGAGCTGAAATGGTAACAAACCTTTCACCAGACTTACATAATAGGAGAATGCTTATTGGCTTTCTCACCCCCTTCATGCTGCTCTTTCCCCTGCCATTCTAGCCTTCAAGCCTGCAAAAATAAACACAAAAGTTTGGGGCCAATATTGGTAAAATTTCAACAAACTAACAGGGCAGGTGCTGAAGAAGCTCTGGAGGGAGCAGTACTTCACATGGCTTTTTCTTCTGTGGAGCAGAAGCTGAATAAAGTATGCAAAAGCAGCAGATATGTGCAAATATAGCCTGCTTGGGTAAAGAATCCAGCTTTTCTCGGTAGAGTATTTCAGTTGTTCGTAGCTGTTATTGTATTCAGCCTTCATTATTTCATTACCAAGCTTGGTATTATTACTTCTCCATTGCTTCCCCACCTCCCTTAATCTGAGCTTGTATGCCCTCCAAGACCCAGGCTGTAAGGCTGAAGGCCACTTTATGTTTGTGGTAGGAGTTTTCATTTTCCTGTGGCATCAAGGTACTGTTTTGAGAGTAGCTGTGGAGAGGATGAAGATGCTGCAGTGTGCATGCAGGCTTTCCTGTCCAAGCACCTGGAGCACAGCTGCCACTTCTTGATTTTGGGCAGTGCCATTAAAACGCTGGCAATGGAAGCATTGAAACTTTGAACAAAGGGCTTCATTTCTTACCTCAGTAAGAACATAAGTGCCCTGCTGACTCAAACCAGTGCTCCATCTAGTCCAGCATCCCTGTTCATGCCATATTGTATAAATATTTAAAACAGGCTCCAGTATTATCTTCGTACTGCAACTTTGGGGGAGGGGTTTGATGCTGAGAATGTGGTTTGCCTAACTTCACCTAGTGAGTTCATGGCAGAGATAAGAGTTGAGCCTAGGGGCTTTGTGGCTCGCATCCTAAGATGAAAATGAGGAAAAGGAAGTGGTACATCTGTCATTTTGACTCCTTCTGCAATTAATTCCTCCTGCACTCATAGAGTCCAGGATACTGCTGCTTCCCATTAAAGATAACCAGTGTTCCTACAACCACATTGGGGAGTGGGAACGAAATTCAGGGTTTAGTGAATAGGCACGAGGATGCAGAAGAGAAATGCTACTTGTAATAGTAATAATCCATTGCTACTGCGAGAGTCAACGGCAAATGCTGAAGACTATTCATCTATCTCTTATATAAGCTATACAAAAGAAAACACCCCCTAGTAGTCCTAAATCATATTTGCATTGGGCAAAGGAGTCACTAATTCAAAACCTCTGAAAGCATGTCTGCTCAGCTGAGCTCATACCCTGGTATTGTAACATACTGAAGAGACAGTAGAATCCAGTGTTCATTTTCATTCCTAGTCTCACTTGTTTCCCATACATAAGGCCTCAAGCAGGTATAGCCTAAGGCAGTGTGTTCCCCATGCAACCCTTCCCCCCTACACACACAGACAAGAGATGAGATTCTTTCTGCTTTGAATAGACTGGATAGTAAGCCCTTTCAGTACTTCTTGGGTCCCGCTTGAGCGAGAGAATCTTGTACTGGTAGCCCTTGAGCTAGGAATAATTGTCTGGGATATATATGTCTACATAGACACTCTGGGGAAGGAAGAATACAGATGTTGTTTTATATGCATTAGGACTAGTCTGCCAGAACTGAAAAGCTTCCTGTTTCTGAACAAAGCTTTGAATGGATGAGCATACCACAGATATCCTTGCTTTCCATTTGTGATAGGGCTATTTCCTTACTGCCCTCTTGTTATCACAATAAGTTAAGAACATAAGAGAAGCCAATGTTGGATCAGGCCAATGGCCCATCCGGTCCAACACTCTGTGTCACACAGTGGCCAGAAATACCAGTGCCATCAGGAGGTCCACCAGTGGGGCCAGGACATTAGAAGCCCTCCCACTGTTGACCCCCCCCCCAAGCACCAAGAAGACAGAGCATCACTTGCCCCAGAGTCCCTATCTATACCTTGTGGCTAATAGCCCCCAATGGACCTCTGCTCCATATGCTTATCTAATTCCCTCTTGTTGCAAAGTGTTAGGATCGGCCAAGAGAGATACAAGTTAACATCCCCACTAAGCCACGGAGTGAGTTGTTGTCTCTCTTTAGCATGCCTTTCTGAACTGTTGACATTCCAATTGAAATACTGTACAGCACTTTGTACATGGAGGTGTAGAGTAGTGACTCTTCCCCTCTGCCCTCCAAATTCATATTATTTGGGGATTCTCTCTACATCTGTGAGACAATTTCCCTTCACTTTATCTAGAATGGCTGAAAATGGCAGCTCATTCTCCCCAATTCTTGAGCTAAGACAAAGCCTCTTTATTTCTCTCTATTTAAAAGTAGAAAAGTGACATTTTCAAGGTGAGTTAAAATCTTGAGGATAGGGCAGGAAGGCAGTAGTTGTAGTATTTTACTTTTTATTTTATAAAGTTACATCGTTCAACTGTGTATTACAAAAATAATCTTTCTGATCAAATCCCCACCCTATCCCACCCCACCCTCTTCTTCTTCCCTCCTTTGTTTTGCTTAACTCATATTTCCAAACACATCTGGTAGTTCCTTGGCCATGGAAGTGGGGTGCTCGTGTATTTCTAATACAGGGCAAGGGGAAAGACGAGTGCTAGTGAATGAGAAAGTTCCACACACAAGACCTAAACCAGAGCATATTCCAAGAGACAGGCCTCTGTTTCCAGCATGGAGAATGTGAATAATCACTGCAGAATGGGCTATACTTGCCATGCAAATGACCTCCTTCAACTGACCCTTAGAACTAAAATGTGCTTCGTAATTATGTAATGGCTGATTTGGAAGCAAGGTAATCTTTCTAGACTTGAACTGCAATGAGGGAGGGGGAAGTTTCATATATATTTTCGTGCCACTCAAAAAAATCTTTTTTTCTTTGATCTTTCAGAAGAGGGGTTCAAAAGGAAGTGAAAACAAAGTTATGGGGAGAGAGGAAATTTGTCTCCATTGCCTATTGGGCCCAACAGTCCATTTTGCTGTTCCAGGGTGACAATTTGAAGCCCCAAATCCAGCTCTGTTCTTTCCAGAAAAACCTTTGAAGCCAAGTGACCTGTGAGACAGACTAGACAGAAATATACACATGGAGAGTTTGGGATTGCAGATGCTGACTCAACCCCTAACCTCTGTACACTGATTATAACTTCTATTCGGCTGCAGTCACACACACTAAATAATCCACTTTCATTCCACTTTCAATGCACTTTCCAACTGGATTTTGCCAGTCCACACAGTAAAATCCAGTTGGAAAGTGCATCGAAAGTGGATTATTTAGTGTGTGTGACCGCGGCCTTCAGGAGGTTAAGGTATACCCCGATGAGTATAGGCTCTGGACATACAATCTGCACAGTATATTTTTGCAGGGCACAGACTGCACGTTCAGAGCCTATGCATATCAAGGTATACACATGAAGACCTGTGCAGTTGGAGATCCCAAACAGCGTCAGCATGTGCATTCTGAATTCTATCCCATATACACATTTGTACCTAATTTGACCACCTGCATGGGACTGGGGGCCAACCGAAAGCAATACACCAGGGACGGATAGTAGCCACACTCTGATGTGTAAACAGAATGTGCGTCCAAAGGCCAATGCTGCCCATCCAAACGGTATTCTGCATTAGATGTGCCTTCCAGTGTGCATTGAAACACACAGCCTGACTCAGCCGGACTGGGGTTTCACAATCAGGGTGATGCAGTTTCCTTGGCTATCAGTCATCACCAAGTCACTCAATCTGATTCAGTCTGTGACAATATCACATTCACTACCGTATAGTGAAAGAAAAGTTGAAGCAGTAGGTGATGGAGGAAACAATGGCTGCAAACAAGCATTGACAGCAAAAAAAAAAGATGGGGGGGTTCATGGTGCTTGTCAGACCCCTTGAAAACACATTTCTCCTCCAGAATACAGCATAGCTGTACATTATTCTGTCTCCATAAAAGCTGCCACAGGAGCTGGAGTTAGCCTAAATTTTGCTTCTGTTTGTGGAAACAAAAATTCCTCGGGTAGTCCAGAAAGTTCTAATACGTTTTTTCCTAAGTCACTTCCATGTTTGTTCTCATCGAGCACAAATTCGCCTATGGAACTGGGATTATTACTGAATATGCCAAGCCACAATTTCCAGCTTCATACATGTACATTTCCGTCCTGGCATCCAGGAAGAACCTGGTCAGCTGAGACGGACAAAGGGTCGTGTCTGCTTCTGCCCCTCCTGGGCACCACAGCTGACTGATGTGCTGAGGTAATGAATTAAGTGTGGTGTGAAATCACTAACAAACCTGCTGAGATGGTTTGATGAAAGGCGGGGTAAGACATGTTGTTAGTTGTAGAGGTACCAAACATTTGTAACCACATGGGGGAAAGGACACTGTACAGGATAGGGTGGGCAAGATATGAGCCTGGATAATCAGTGCAGTCA